CTGAAAAAAAAAGTAATTAGAATCAGAAAAGTCTGAAATCTCAACGGCCAAATATAAAAGAGAAAATGGAAATTAGAAGTCTTCACGAATCTCTAGACGGCATGCACCATTGTTTCAGAGAACAACTATGACAGAGATCGAATGAAAGTACAATAGAGCGGGAAGTGCAACGCGAGCGAAGTGCACTTTTTTATGCTGAGATGTAAAGGTCACTGAAGAGCAGAGTTCAAGCGGAAAATGCTGGAGTAAGGAAAAGAGGTGTAGCACAGATTTTATGTATAACAAAAAACAACTTGAAAGAAGTTTGATCTGAATCGAAAAAAGAAATACAGCCTGCAGACATAGCAACATTCTTTTAGTCTTCAAATAATTTTTAAGAATTATAGTGACAGCTCAAATACCCACAAGTCTCAACACGTATCTGTGCTAAGAAAAAAAAAGAAAAAGATTATCCACACTGATTGATCGGTTGTATGGGTTCATATGTTTCTACGGACGGTGCGTGGGTTCACTTCGACACACCCCGAAAAACACGCCACAGCGCCGTTATGCGCATTACGGTACCTCCTCATCAAAAAAATTGACCAACTTTAAGCGTTTTATCACCTTAGGATGAGTAAGGTCAGAACATAAACTTATTCTTAGCTAGAGTTGTTGATACGTATGCTCTCATGGTGCAAGGGTAATCAAACCCTGCAGGTAATTGATAGTAACAAGAAGCTATTTCCAAGTTTTTAGGCTTTAAAGCATTAGAAAGAATGTAAAACACTATCAGTGATGATAACATATGGATGTGCAGTTCTTGTGCTCCTAAAGCAACAAAGTTCAACCACCCATTCCATCCAAATCCTTGACTTGCAGGTTCATAACTTCAGTCTCCTGTGCAATGCTTTGTAAAATAGTAGATGTCTCACTTCTTCTGTATAGGAAGTCTTACACAATTACTGAATAAAACTCCACACTATAAGCATGCATTCGCAATATAAGGATCGGCCTCCTTTGCTTATAAGCAAAACAAGGGTTGGCCGATTGAGGCTGTCGCGTTGCGGTATTTTTGGTGCAACCCCTTTGAAAGTATTCTTGGTGCAGCTCTTTTGGAACTGGACTCCAAAAAATGTAAAAAAATGCCTTC